AAGCCGTTGCGGCTTTCGGGGTGCTGAGGCCGAAGCCTGCTCTGTAGTGCCCTGCCTGTCCCCACAACAACGGTTTCCCAAGTCGAGGACATGCACCCAGACGACCAGCAAAAGGCGGTGCTTCGGGATTGAAGTGGTTGCGTTGTGAAAAGAATCTCCATGGTTGAAGTCTCAGGCATGAAGGGATACCAGGTAATGCCTGGTTTGCAGGCCTAGGTACTGCAAGCCTTGCCTCAGTCAGTTTCGGTCGTGTAATTCTTGTCTCTCGCTTCCGAGTGGGTGTTAGAGCGTTGGACGGTGTTTGATGTTTCCTTGCCCGAGGCCCCGATGTAGAAGCCTGCAAGAGTTCCCATGGACACAGGTAAGGAGCTGCGTTGAAGTGAACCGAGCCCTCTTCTGGCCATTTCTTTTCTTTTGTCATCGGACCCTCGCACCACGGCTCATGCCAGGGAGCTGTGATCCCAGGCCGCCCCGAAATCCCCAAGTCCCTAAGCCCTGAAGTCCCAAGGCCGTAAACCCAAGACTCTGGACCCACTACCCGCGAGAATCGACCGAAGCCCTGAACAGCAACCCAAGCAGGTCGCCCAGGGCTTCGACCTCGTGGGCAGCCGCGCAACCCAGTTGCATGTGTGGGGGCGACAGACTCAAAAGCTAGCAGTAGGGTTTGATGATTGATGGCTTGGGGTTAGGAGTTTGCGATTCGTTGGCATCTTGGTTTAGGGTCCGAGAAACTTTGCGCAGCTCCAAACCTGGGACCCTAAACATCCTGAAACCAAAACCCCAGACATCCCTCCAAGACGTGATCATCAGGAGCGTAAAAACCAATGATCGCAAAAAATCGAGGTTTGGTTCTGGGCCGAGATGTTGGACAACGGCATGACGGGCCGCTGGAGATGTCACGACCTTCGGCTAGAAGACATTTTGGCGGATCGGTTCAAGGCATTGGGGCTTTCATGCTTAGCAACCTAGTAACCAAAGTCTGAGGTGACAGTATTGTCACCAATAGTTGTAGCAGGGCAAATGACAGCTGTATTCATGGTGAGGTCTGTAGCGGGCAGTCGTCGTTGCAGCGAATGATAGTAGCAGTAGCAGCTGTAGCGGCATCACCACCACCGTAATGAGCATCTTCGCACTCACAATCAAGCCGGTGGTGCCAGTAGTCGTTGGAATGGTTCCGCTAAGGCTCGTCCTGCGATGAACTGCAAAGGGTAATTTTTGACGGCACGAGCATGATTATGCAAAGCAGCAGAACGGAAGAGCCCTAATAGCGTATTCACATTCATGCTACAACCCAACAGACATTCATCGGCAGAGAACAAGTAAGATTGTAGCCCTCCAAAACTTCCTACATGCTTAGAAACCTTCAACCCTAAACCCAAACCAAGAAACTAAAGAAATGCTGAACCCAAGGAAGTGTCCATGACCTTCAAGCGCGGCGGTCAGGGCGAGGTGCCCCCAGCGAAGCGGCAAAGGCTGGGTGAACGAAGCTAAGTCGTTGGATACATCCACCTAAGCCACAGTACTAATATACTGTTACCATGTTGGTTCAATTCTATCATGTTCATTATTGTTCTTGTTGTTGGTGTTTCACAGTCTTTATGGTGTTGAGCGTCTGTTATTTGTATGATATTACTGATGGTGATGGTGATTATTATCGTTGGTACTGTATTGTGCATCTTATATTCGTATTGTGATTATCGTTGTGATTTTACTGTTACTTGTAAGATTGTAAGATCGTCTTTATCAATTATGATTATTATTACTGTCAATACTGTCACTACGAATGTCGTTGTTGTTATCATCATTAGCATAATTGTTTTTGTATTTCGTTCTTGACGTGCCCGCATTAATGAGGATTGATCTTCTTTTGCTAATGCTACTGCTTCTACTATTGCAAATACAAGTAGGACGAATGCATGTATTGATATGGTGATCATTAGCATTCTGGGTGGTAGTAGCTGTAGCAGAAGCAGCAGCAGCAGCAGCAAAAGCAACAGTAGTAGTCGTCGTCGTAGTCGTAGTCGAGGTATGCGTAGCAGTCGTAGCATTCGTAGTATTCGTAGTATTCGTAG